ATAAAAGTAAGCCACGACATTTACTGACAAATTATCTGTACTAGATCAACAAAGTTAACTGTTAAATCTTCGGCACTTAAAATGGCCACTAATTTGGTCATGTGAAAGTGTGCTGTGTCCTTGTTCGTTCTTTGCTTACACTAATAACATTTTTAAGCTGCTTTCACTTGGGAAATAATAATACTCAGATAAACTTTACTGGACGATCTAAATTGGAAGGAATACGAACTGAATTAATTTGTATGCATTGAACACCTCTGAAATGGGGTTGAATCGAGTTTCACATTTTAATTAAAAAACTCATAGATCACTATACTCAGAGAACGCATTATTAAACCTACCTCGTGTACTTACTTACTTACTTACGCCTGTTACCCCCAATGGAGCATACGCCGCCCACCAGTTTTCTCCAACCTGGGCTTCCCTCTCCAGTTCTGTCCAATGTTTGTTCATTCCTCTCATATCTTTCTCTATTTCTCGGCGTAATGTGTTCATTGGCCTTCTTCTTTTCCTTTGCCTTGAGGGTTCCATGTGAGAGCTTGTCTCGTGACGCAGTTAGGTGCTTTTCGTAGTGTGTGTCCTATCCACTTCCATCGCCTCTTCCTGATTTCCTCCTCCATTGGAATCTGGTTTGTTCTATCCCACAGTTCGTTGTTGCTGATGGTATCTGGCCAACGAAAACGAAGTATTTTGCGTAGACAACTGTTAATAAATACTTGTATCTTCTGGATGATGGCTTTGGTAGTTCTCCATGTTTCCGCTCCATACATTAGAACTGCCTTGACATTTGTATTGAAAATCCTTATTTTGGTGTTGATTGATATCTGTTTGGAGTTCCAGATATTTTTCAACTGTAGAAATGCAGCTCTTGCTTTGCCAATCCGTGCCCTCACATCTGCATCGGATTCACCTTGGTTGTCGATGATGCTGCCCAGATATGTAAAGTTGTTAACGTCCTCCAAGGCATCTGCATCAAGAGCGATTTGTTTGGTGCATGTTGTGTTGCATCGGAGAATTTTGCTTTTTCCTTTATGTATGTTGAGACCTACTGCTGCAGAGGCTGCTGCTACACTTGTCGTCTTCTCTTGCATTTGTTGTTGAGTGTGCGATAGAAGAGCCAAGTCATCTGCGAAGTCCAGATCGTCCAGCTGCGTCCTAACTGTCCAGTTGATACCGTGTTTCCCTCCAGATGTTGACGTTTTCATAATCCAGTCGATCACCAGGAGAAATAGAAAGGGTGAGAGTAAGCAACCTTGCCTGACACCGGTCTTCACCTCGAAAGAGTCTGTTAGCTGTCCTTCGTGTACGATTTTGCAGTTGAATCCATCATAAGAGTTCCGTATGATGTTAACTATTTTCTCAGGCACCCCGTAGTGTCAAAGAAGCCTTCACAGAGTTTTCCTGTCCACGCTATCGAATGCTTTCTCGTAGTCGATGAAGTTGATGTAGAGTGGTGAGTTCCATTCAATTGATTGTTCCACAATGATCCGTAATGTAGCAATTTGGTCAGTACATGTACTGTCCTTACGAAATCCGGCCTGTTGATCTCGAAGTTGGGCGTCTACGAAGTCCTTCATTCTGTTTAACAATACCCTGTTGAAGACTTTGCCTGGTATTGAAAGAAGAGTGATGCCTCTGTAGTTTTCACACTTGCTGAGATTGCCTTACTTTGGTATTTTGATGAGGTATCCTTCCTTCCAGTCTGATGGTACTTGTTCCTCATCCCAAATCTTTTTGAAGAGGATGTGAAATATTTTCGCGGTTGCTTCTACATCTGCTTTCATTGCCTCTGCTGGAATGTTGTCTGGTCCTGCTGCTTTGCCGTTCTTGATTTGTCTGATGGCCATACTGATCTCCTCAATCGTAGGTGCGCCAATATTAATTGGGAGATCTGTGGATAACTTGTGCGATAACTTTCTCCGCCCTTGTTCGGCTGACATTGATTGCTGCCTTCTTGTTCCTCCTTTCTTCAATTTTTGCGAAAGTATTAACAGAGATCCATTACGTGTGATGGTACTTCTTGTGACCCAGAACTTCGTGACATGTTGAAGTGATTGCCTCTTTAATCCCTTTCCAATTGTTCTCCAATGTTGCGTCCTCTCCATTGAGTAGATCCTGAAAGGCCTGGAACCTATTGGTGAGGGCTATCCTGAATTCGTTGAGCTTTACAGTATCCCGAAGAAAGGCCGTATCAAACTTGTGTGATGTTGTCTGTACCGTTGTCCAGTGCTTCTTTAGTTTCAGTTTCATTTTGGCGATTAGCAAATGGTGATCTGAGGCTACATCAGCTCCTCTCCTGGTTCTCACATCCTCCATAGTCCTTCTGAACGTTTTGTTGATACAGATATGATCAATCTGGTTTTGAGTAGTGTGATCCGGTGTAATCCATGTAGCTTTGTGTATGCGTTTGTGCGGGAATATTGTGTCACCGATGACCAGGCACATAGGTTGGCAAATCTCTCACCGTTTTCGTTCCTTTCTCCCAGTCCATGTCGTCCCATGATGTCTTCATATCCAGTGTTGTCCATGCCAACCTTGGCATTCAGGTCTACCATAAGAATCGTCAAATCCTTTGGTGAACATTTCTCGACGATTGACTGCAGCATTTCGTAGAATTGATCTTTATCGTCGTAACTGTAGTCGTTGGTAGGTGCATAACATTGGATGAAGTTCATTGTAATGTGTTCTTTCTTTGTTTTGAAGGATGCTTTAATGATCCTGGGTCCATGAGATTCCCATCCTTTCAGTGCCTTTTGTGCATGTTTGGACAGCATCAATGCAACTCCTTGTGTATGTGAAGCATTTTCCTCTTCACGATCAAATTATAACAGAAGTTCCCCTGAAGCTAGTCTCAGTTGTCCTACTTGTGGTCAACGTGTTTCACTGATTCCAAGCACCTCGAGGTTGTATCTTTTCATTTCAGCCGCAACTTGAAATAGTCTTCCAGTCTCCCACAATGTACGAACGTTCCATGTACCTAAAAAATGGTTGCTCTGGTTGTCAGAAGAGGCATCAGCCCCGTGACTACCGAGGGAATTCGGCTTACATCACGAGACGTCATAATTCTTCCTCCAAATCCCAGGGCTGAGTTAAAATGGTTTGAATTATTTTTTCTGGTTAGCGTTTAATTGGCAAGTTAGTTTTTGACGGAATGGGGTCGCCAACCCAATGTCCAACCCTCCTCCTTTAGCCGGGCTTGGGACCGGCAGTAGCCCCGAAGGTTCTACTGGCTGAATTCTACCGCGTGTGCTCAACTGTAAATCGAAAACCTGGTCACAAATGCAACATTGTAATTCGTCTTTGTAAATATTTTTTCTGCTGTTTAGTATAAACTTTGTGCTAGAATACGGCGAACAACAACTCACTGTTACTTTGCTGATGAGTGAAGTAAATTTCTGGACGAATTTTAGGCGCAATAAAAGCCTGATATATCTATCTACGTTTGGCCACTTTCTCTGTTTCGGGAATTTTCACTGTTATAAACTCAAACATGTTGTTTCAAGAAATGAAATGTAAATATTCTTCTGACCTTACATCACGCCTGTTCAACAACCGTGAACTTTTCGCAAAACGGAGGTTCGTTGTTATAGTTAATGATATGTATTTATGAATATTGATGACGTTTTGGATCCAGTGCCGAAAATTTATGGATGGATCAAACGTGCCTATGAAAAGGGTTGACTTTAAGTAATGAACTGACAACTGATAAGGGGTAATAAATCGTATAGTGTTCATTTAGAAGCTCAAAACAAAGAAATTTAAATTTTTGATAACCTAATATTTTAGTATTTATTCGATAATTATATACATTTATTAGGGAAACTTGGCCCCAGGTGCTACGGTTGGAATTATCAACATTTCAGCTTATCCGCACGACGTATCATGACACAGTGCGGTTTGTTGAAACAGTCATTTACTTATGTAACCAGCTAAAATGAGTTATGAAACAGTACGGAAGCAGCAAGTCTAGTGATGAACTGAGATGTTCTCACCGAAGAATATCTCATTATTCTGTTTCTGTACGTCGATGGAATCGATCAACGGGTCTTCATTCTATGGCATGAACTATCAACATAATAATACTGTGACGCATCATACTCATGACAGATTATTTCTCATCATACACACTAGAATTTTAAGTGAACCAAAAATTTAATAACCCCGTTTCTTCAAAAAAAACTTTTTCTTATAGAAAGTCAAAAGAACTAGGTTATCCGGAATATTGAATAAAAAATTACAACATATTTACCGATTTGATTGTGCTTGTGAAATGGCTTGAACCCAGTTGCTACTGGAAGAAATGCGTTTCACAAGAAGAAGAATCGTGATTTCATGCCAACATTTCCAGCTGATGTTGCTTTCAGTATAGTTAGAATCAAAAACTCTCCTTAAAATCTACATATTTTTAGGCCTCAGTATGTGAAATGAGACAAATTTTAATCGTTCCACCTATGCATAGTCAGTCAAGCGTGATTGAATTCTGGTTAAATTAAATGGCTAAAAAGTTAGCAAATAGGGAATCGTAAAACCATCCTTATAAAAAAGAAGGATATCTGAATCACATCAATGAATTCCATGCTATGGACAGGAGTTTACTGTGGTAGTTAAGTCTTGTACTTATACTTACTAGCAATACTGATACATTTTTCTGTCCAATCAAAAGATTCATCCTAGTCAGTCATTTCGATGTATCAAGATAAACTAATCCTGATTACCTGATAGCTGTAAAACGTAACGTCGAAGTAAACTAAGATGATACACCATTCTAATCTGACTTGAGGTGACAAGCAACCATTGACTACTTACCTTCACGTACTTCGGTGACTTCAAATTATTTCTGATAGAACAGCATGTTATGTTGATATAAAACTAAAATGTTGCATGATGAAATAGTAATAACCAATTTTGTGAAAACAATCAAAATATTGATTCCATATAATGTGATAATTAATATATTCTCAATTATGATAAAATTAAACAATAATTGTAATAATCATCATTCAGTAAGATGAGGTATTTTTCTTCCAAAAAGAACAACTTGTCTTTGAAACACCGTATATTAGTCCAATCATAAGTAAGGTGGACGTTGCTAAGAGAACAAATATCATAGAAACATTCAACACAGCACGTCCTATATAACATAACAATAGAAATATGAAAGAATAAATGGTAAACAAATTATTTAAATGATTATATATATAATAAAATGCATTCACTTAATAAGGAAGAACAAAAAATATCTCTGAAAATTCCAAACGAAAAAAATATATGTATCATGAGAGAAAACAAACAAACAAACCTTCTGCCTGGAAACTTCCACAAGTAGACGATCGATTTCGAAAAGACGATAAATCTTAATAAAGAAGAGAAAAGAAGTTCATTTGTGGGTTATAATGGGACGAGGTAAAATATAAATAAAAATAAATATGAACATATATTGAATAACATATTCAAGACGAATAAAAATTAAAAAAAATGAAAACATTAAAAAGCGTGAAAGATAAAGAAATAACAAATTGTAAGCGGAAATAGTATAAAAACTAGCAAGGAAGAATATTAAAGTCATATAGGAAGAAAGATGCATAAAATGACAGGCAGAAAAAGTTGGCCAAATGCTGTAAAAGAGTGATTAAAAGGATAAACAGAAGCAGAAAGTACATGTGTACATTGATTTGTTTGTTGCATATAGTAATTCGGCATACATTGATTTGCCTCAATGCAAACTAGTTGACAACTTGTGTTCGTCAGCTCTGCTACTGCTCTCTGCATCTCTACTCATTTCCACAACACTATGTCCGCACGCAACAATGGAGTTTGTGCTGAATTCTGCCTCAACTTTCCTGCGAGCCGTCATGTTGACCAGTGGACAACAACTGTGCAACCATTGCACAGTTATTTCACACAAACTTATTCATCAACCCGCTGCTGAATGTGCATCGATACTATGTGTTATGGATTCACTGAATTCGAATTGCATTAACACAACACGCGAAGCACGTCTTTCACAAACTCATGTTTCACACACAGATAATGAAGAATGGCAATCGGTGCGAACGCGCAATGTCAAAGATGAATGGTCTTTCGGACAGACCTGGACATGGGGAGAATAATGTCATGTTTGTGTGAGTGTACATGCGTGCGCAAATACATCGGAATGCAAGCAGTGATTGTTGATGTTACGATCTGAGTCATATCGTGACACTGATTCCGGTTCTGTGTGGACATGATGAAACTATGTGTAAGTTCATTGGGAAAAGGCAGTGTACGCAGATGAATGATTTGCTTGGCATGTCTCTGAGGCAACAGAATCACCAGTGTGTACAGGAGAGAGAGAAAAGTGAATGCGTGTGTGTGCAAGTGTGAATGAAGTGGAGTAGTTACTGAAAAAGTTGTCGAGACTCACCGGCGTTTGTAGATAGTATATTTTCTGAATTGTTTCTTTCACTTTTGTTCGTGTTGGTCATTTTCTGCTCTTCTATTATTACTCTTTTCTTTCTCACTGGTTTATGGATTGTTGCTGGATTGTTGATTTGTTTTCAAAGGAAGAAAGTGTGCACGATAAAATTATGTTACTGAAATGAAAATTGTTACCTTCTTCCATCCAATCTCTGTTTTGATTCACTGACTTTTATCTCGGGCAGAGTTTTCATAGACGGAGTACGATTTGCCGGCAGTATGCTCACTCTGCAAACATGCGTCCATTCTAAGTCACTGGAGTGAAACATTGATTCACTCTAATAACATTTTGGTAGATTTTGAAATTCAATAATATATTGGAATTACACACGTCCAAATAACGCAATGTAATCAATCGCTGATTGCATTCATTTTTACCGAAAATCAAGTGCATTCTGCATCAACAACGGACGTGATTTAGCACAGTGGAGGAATAGAAAACCTCGAGTGATGAGAAGAAAGAGAAATGAGTATGTGTTTGTGTTTGTGTGAGAATGTAGTTGAGGATTTGGTGAAAAGAATAACGACACTCACCTTGATTTGTGGGTTGTGGATCTAGTGATGAGGATTGTTCGGTGACGTTCGTCGGTGGCAGTGTACTCGTTGACTGTTGCATTGGAATGGACGGTGTCAACGTTTCTGCTGTAAGTGTAAAGAAGTATAGTTTAGAGTAAATTTGCGATTCGCACATGCAACCTACTATTGTGGAATTGTGTTGGTTTCACCGTGAAATGAATAGCCGTAGAATGTGGATTCGCCAGCATGGAGTCGCTTCTTACCTATTGATTACTGGATTCACATGCTCAAACTCATTCTCATACTCATATTCTTTCTCATACACATTGTCATACCGTGACTGGAACCAGTGTTAACTGATCGCGTGAAGCAGGCTGTTCTGTGATGTTGGTCACCTGCTCCACTCATGTTTCCGACCTCACGTTCAGTTCGCTGTTCTGTCAATACCACTTTCAATCGTGTGAGTTGGAACTGGAGGCTGCGAGTGAGCGGTTGGCGATTGACAGCAAACGTGGCAAAGAACAATGAGCGAAAGTGCCGTGGTGACACTATTGCTTCAGTATGAACACACATTGCGTCACTCCGTTACCTGTTGCTAATTGATCGTCATTCATGTCGCTTCACAACTCATATTCCACTGGATAAGATTATGCTGGATTCTCTGTTTTTCGATTCACCACACATAGCCGTTTGGCTTTTGTGATTTGTGTTGCAGTTTCCATGGTGCCAGTTTCAGTCTGTGGACAGTGATCTGTTCGTTGCACATAGTAATTCGGCATACATTGATTTGCCTCAATGCGAACTAGCTGACAACTTGTGTTCGTCAGCTCTGCTACTGCTTTCTGCATCTCTACTCATTTCCACAACAATATGTCCGCACGCAACAATGGAGTTTGTGCTGAATGCTGCCTCAACTTTCCAACGAGCCGTCATGTTGACCAGTGGACAACAACTGTGCAACGATTGCACAGTTATTTCACACAAACTTATTCATCAACCCGCTGCTGAATGTGCATCGATACTATATGGTATGAATTCACTGAATTCCAATTGCATTAACACAACACGCGAAGCACGTCTTTCACAAACTCATGTTTCACACACAGATAATGAAGCATGGCAATCGGTGCGAACGCGCAATGTCAAAGATGAATGGTCTTTCGGACAGACCTGGACATGGGGAGAATAATGTCATGTTTGTGTGAGTGTACATGCGTGCGCAAATACATCGGAATGCAAGCAGTGATTGTTGATGTTACGATTTCAGTCATATCGATACACTGATTCCGGTTCTGTGTGGACATGGTGAAACCATGTGGAGGTTGATTTGGAAAAGGCAATGTACGCAGATGAATGATTTGCTTTGCATGTCTCTGAGGCAACAGAATCACCAGTGTGTACAGGAGAGAGAGAAAAGTGAATGCGTGTGTGTGCAAGTGTGAATGAAGTGGAGTAGTTACTGAAAAAGTTGTCGAGACTCACCGGCGTTTGTAGATAGTATATTTTCTGAATTGTTTCTTTCACTTTTGTTCGTGTTGGTCATTTTCTGCTCTTCTATTATTACTCTTTTCTTTCTCACTGGTTTATGGATTGTTGCTGGATTGTTGATTTGTTTTCAAAGGAAGAAAGTGTGCACGAAAAAATTATGTCACTTAAAATAAAATTGTTTCCTTCTTCCATGCAATCTCTTAACTTCACTGTCTTTTATCCCGGGCAGTGTTTTCATAGACGGAGGACAATTTGCCGTCAGTTGGCTCACTCTGCAAACATGCGTCCATTCTAAGTCACTGAAGTGAAACATTTATTCACTCTAATAACATTTTGGTAGGTTTCAAAATTCAATAATACATTGGAATTGCAAACGTCCATGTATCACAATGTAATCAATCGCTGATTGCATTCATTTGTTACCGATAATCAAGTACATCCTGCATCAACAATGGACGTGATTTAGCACAGTGGAGGAATAGAAAACCTCGAGTGATGAGAAGAAAGAGAAATGAGTATGTGTTTGTGTTTGTGTGAGAATGTAGTTGAGGATTTGGTGAAAAGAATAACGACACTCACCTTGATTTGTGGGTTGTGGATCTAGTGATGAGGATTGTTCGGTGACGTTCGTCGGTGGCAGTGTACTCGTTGACTGTTGCATTGGAATGGACGGTGTCAACGTTTCTGCTGTAAGTGTAAAGAAGTATAGTTTAGAGTAAATTTGCGATTCGCACATGCAACCTACTATTGTGGAATTGTGTTGGTTTCACCGTGAAATGAATAGCCGTAGAATGTGGATTCCGCTGCACGGAGTCGCTTCTTACCTATTGATTACTGGATTCACATGCTCAAACTCATTCTCATACTCATATTCTTTCTCATACACATTGTCATACCGTGACTGGAACCAGTGTTAACTGATCGCGGGATGCAGGCTGTTCTGTGATGTTGGTCACCTGCTCCACTCATGTTTCCGACCTCACGTTCAGTTCGCTGTTCTGTCAATACCACTTTCAAACGTGTGAGTTGGAACTGGAGGCTGCGAGTGAGCGGTTGACGTTCGACAGCAAACGTGGCAAAGAACAATGAGCGAAAGTGCCGTAGTGACACTATTGCTTCATTATGAACACACATTGCGTCAATCCGTTACCTGTTGCTAATTGATCGTCATTCATGTCGCTTCACAACTCATATTCCACTCGATAAGATTATGCTGGATTCTCTGTTTTTCGATTCACCACACATAGCCGTTTGGCTTTTGTGATTTGTGTTGCAGTTTCTATGGTGCCAGTTTCAGTCTGTGGACAGTGATCTGTTCGTTGCACATAGTAATTCGGCAAACATTGATTTGCCTCAATGCGAACTAGCTGACAACTTGTGGTCGTCAGCTCTGCTACTACTTTCTGCATCTCTACTCATTTCCACAACAATATGTCCGCACGCAACAATGGAGTTTGTGCTGAATGCTGCCTCAACTTTCCAACGAGCCGTCATGTTGACCAGTGGACAACAACTGTGCAACCATTGCACAGTTATTTCACACAAACATATTCATCAACCAGTTGCTGAAAGTGCATGCATACTATGTGGAGTGCATTCACTGAATTCGACTTGCATTAACACATCACGCGAAGCACGTCTTTCACAAACTCATGTTTCACACACAGATAATGAAGCATGGCAATCGGTGCGAACGCGCAATGTCAAAGATGAATGGTCTTTCGGACAGACCTGGACATGGGGAGAATAATGTCATGTTTGTGTGAGTGTACATGCGTGCGCAAATACATCGGAATGCAAGCAGTGATTGTTGATGTTACGAGTTCAGTCATATCGATACACTGATTCCGGTTCTGTGTGGACATGGTGAAACCATGTGGAGGTTGATTTGGAAAAGGCAATGTACGCAGATGAATGATTTGCTTTGCATGTCTCTGAGGCAACAGAATCACCAGTGTGTACAGGAGAGAGAGAAAAGTGAATGCGTGTGTGTGCAAGTGTGAATGAAGTGGAGTAGTTACTGAAAAAGTTGTCGAGACTCACCGGCGTTTGTAGATAGTATATTTTCTGAATTGTTTCTTTCACTTTTGTTCGTGTTGGTCATTTTCTGCTCTTCTATTATTACTCTTTTCTTTCTCACTGGTTTATGGATTGTTGCTGGATTGTTGATTTGTTTTCAAAGGAAGAAAGTGTGCACGAAAAAATTATGTCACTTAAAATAAAATTGTTTTCTTCTTCCATGCAATCTCTTAACTTCACTGACTTTTATCTCGAGCAGTGTTTTCATAGACGGAGGACAATTTGCCGGCAGTGGGCTCACTCTGCAAACATGCGTCCATTCTAAGTCACTGGAGTGAAACATTTATTCACTCTAATAACATTTTGGTGGATTTTGAAATTCAATAATACATTGGAATAGCAAACGTCCATGTATCACAATGTAATCAATCGCTGATTGCATTCATTTGTTACCGACAATCAAGTACATCCTGCATCAACAACGGACGTGATTTAGCACAGTGGAGGAATAGAAAACCTCGAGTGATGAGAAGAAAGCGAAATGAGTATGTGTTTGTGTTTGTGTGAGAATGTAGTTGAGGATTTGGTGAAAAGAATAACGAGACTCACCTTGATTTGTGGGTTGTGGATCTAGCGATGAGGATTGTTCGGTGACGGTCGTCTGTGACAGTGTACTCGTTGACTGTTGCATTGGAATGGACGGTGTCAACGTTTCTGCTGTAAGTGTAAAGAAGTATAGTTTAGAGTAAATTTGCAATTCGCACATGCAACCTACTATTGTGGAATTGTGTTGGTTTCACCGTGAAATGAATAGCTGTGGAATGTGGATTCCGCTGCATGGAGTCGCTTCTTACCTATTGATTACTGGATTCACATGCTCAAACTCATTCTCATACTCATATTCTTTTTGATACACATTGTCATACCGTGACTGGAACCAGTGTTAACTGATCGCGTGATGCAGGCTGTTCTGTGATTTTGGTCACCTGCTCCACTCATGTTTCCGACCTCACGTTCAGTTCGCTGTTCTGTCAATACAACTTTCAAACATGTGAGTTGGAACTGGAGGCTGCGAGTGAGCGGTTGACGTTCGACAGCAAACGTGGCAAAGAACAATGAGCGAAAGTGCCGTAGTGACACTATTGCTTCAGTATGAACACACATTGCGTCAATCCGTTACCTGTTGCTAATTGATCGTCATTCATGTCGCTTCACAACTCATATTCCACTCGATAAGATTATGCTGGATTCTCTGTTTTTCGATTCACCACACATAGCCGTTTGGCTTTTGTGATTTGTGTTGCAGATTCTATGGTGCCAGTTTCAGTCTGTGGACAGTGATCTGTTCGTTGCACATAGTAATTCGGCAAACATTGATTTGCCTCAATGCGAACTAGCTGACAACTTGTGTTCGTCAGCTCTGCTACTGCTTTCTGCTTCTTTACTCATTTCCGCAACACTATGTCAGCATGCAACAATTGAGTTCGTATCAAATATTTGCTGAGCTCTGTAACGGAATCTCATCTTGTTCAATTGACTTATTTACTCCACCTGCCGATTTTGTCTTCTTCCATTCATTTTCCAATTTTCGGCATGTGTTTTTCATTTTTTCATAACTTCTGTTCACTTATATCTTCGTTCTTCATTGATGTTACATTTCTTTGCTCTTTGTTTTCTGTGTCTATGATTCAGTCATTGGTATAATGAATTAGGAATCGATTGAGTTCTCTGTAGCAATTCAATAATCCTACGTTATTACAGAGCGATTCTTTTAATATTTTTTTCAGTTCCATTTGCTGATTCTTTTCATTTTGTCAGTGTAGATCCTTAAATGACATTATTTTTTAACGATTTATGACGTTATCAAAACCACTTGTTTCTTACCGATAATTCACTTACTTTTGTTTTGTGAATTCATCTCATTTGTATGATACTGAATTTTACGTTTCACATCATTCCGTAGTTTCTCTATGTGTTGAGTTTCTATTATTTTCCGGATTTTAACTAAAGATAAAAATGTTTAATGTCATTTAGCTTATGACTTCAATTGCACAAAATATTTTTCATTTTATTTACAAGTATTGAATTATGATGAAGAAAATAGTGATTTTGATGTTTACGGGGATCATTTAAAATAAAACTTGGAATTCTAGGAACGATGCCCTCAAAAGTATATCATAAAATGTATTTGAATAGCATCAAATATTTTTGTGCTGATCACAATTCATTCAGAGAGATGTGAGTTAAAATTATATTACTACTAATATTTGTCAAATTACGTTCCTAACTTGGTTTTCGACTAAATTTTATGACACTGACGGATTTTATAATTGGTTAATAATTAATGTCTAAAATTTACCAGTGACAGATTACTCACCTCGTACTGTAAGTTGGAAAATACTCAAAAATGATTGTTTGTTACCTTGATGGTAAACATTTTTTATTTTGGAAATCAATGAATTGATACTGAAGTTGGGTTCAATACGATACATAAATTTTAATGAAGAATTTGCTTTTACACCAATAATCACACCAACATATTCAGTATGAATATTTATTTTTGAAAATATCACGTGTCTACATTTTACAAGATTTGATCCAGGATTTATCACACTTGTGGTCAAATGAATGATCTAAACAACAGGGAAACATTTCAAATGAAAATATATATAAGTTGAAAATGTAATTGACCTTTAAGTTTTTGTTAAGCTTATATGATGAGAATTTACAAAAACCATGTAATCCTTTACTGTCAGTCTATAATATAAACTTGAGTAATGTACTCAGGAGAATCATTTACTTTAATTATTATAAAAAATGATAATCATTTTGCTTCTATGTGACATTATGTCTGCAAGATACGATCGATTACATAGATGAATGTTATTCAAGACATTACTATTCGTGACGTCCTAAGACATTATGTTGTCAACTCATCAATCACGTACTTATATGTTTGTCACAAAAACTGTTGAGTGCTAATAGTCATTCAATGGTTGTCTAGCTGAGATTAGATAGAGATTAAGATTTTGAAGATAATGATTTTCAGTGAGTCATGTTTTGCTGATCCTTTAGCAATACTGCTCAGTGTTTGAAATGTCAATCGTTAACTCTTTCAAATACACTATAATTCACATTTAGATAAGCTTAGAATTGTGTCTGTAAGTGCACACAGTTTTAAATATTTATTTCTTAAGATAGTATTAATTAATAGTTACAAGTGACAAAATTTGAACAAACTTGTTGACAAAAAGCATTAGACAATTGTTTGTATGGAAGTGAGGTGTAATCTTCATATAGCGGATTCCAAGTTATTAAACGTCTTGGATTTTGATTTTGTAATACGGCATTATAAAATGAAATTTCTACTTCTAAAAAATTGTGAAAAAATAGAACATTTATTTAATTTATCGTTTAACTAGTGTTTTTAGAGAACAATTAATTAACAAGGATCGATTCATATGTAGTTTAATGAAAGATTTAATTTTTATTCCTTTTATGAGGGCATTAGTGTTTGTACACGTTGTTATTATCGTCACTTGATATGCTTAAAGCTATTAGGAGTTTACAGCGTCCAGGTAAGCTACCTTGAATCTTAAACTGCAAAACAGAAAACTTGGAAGGCGTAGAACACTCAGTAATCACAATACAATGAAGGACACAACTCTCGTTAATTTATGCATCATAAAAACGTCTTTGGGACAGTTGCCAAAATAGTTTAGAAAAATACTTAGCAGCCAATCATGGTCAAGGATTTTCTTGGTGGGAAATGCAATCTCAAGGTCAACTGATCAACCCATGCTCTCAAACGTGAAATCCGAAATAAGGCATTTATGATGCGAGTTCTAGGGATCCAACATCCTCTTTACACTTTTTTAAAGTTCCTGAAAGAATAGCAGATAAATGATTTTGACGGTGTGATTAAGAAATCTCACATACATACAATAATATATTTCCCATCAGAAACTATCTCTCGTCTATATTATTTACATTTGATGAACAACTCATTGGATAATTTCAAATCAAATTGCTATGATAAGCGATTGGATATAAATTATGCAGCTGAGTTAATTCAGAGATTTTCTGATTTTCGATTGTAATGAGTTTTGTTCTCTGTTTCTTCCGTTAAGTTCACGGGTTCTTAATAATGTACTTAACACTGTTATACAAGTTGGTAGAATATGCACATCAATTGCTATGCTTTTGATTGAACAGATAAGTTGATGTGTAACATTTGAAAAAATGTTTTGGTTTTATGTGTTTAATCTAAAAGAAATTTGAGTGATAGGAAATTAATAACTGCATTTTACTAGAAACGTTCAGTCAATTGACGTATCTAAATATTACTATGAAATCAGAACAAATACAAAACCGTCATAGGTATTGTCAAAACAAAGTGGTTAAGATTGGTTGTCTTTAGAATCGTACTCTATCACAACGTTTTATGGCGATTTTTATTATTGATAAACAGTTAAACTAATCTGTTCAGCTTTCAGTTTTTTTTGGTCTCACTCTTCTCAGTTATTTCAAAACACTTCTATCCTCAGTCATCCGATTTCATCTAAACATAAGTGCTATGTCAATAACTTCATATTAACATCGTTGCACACATATTCTTTTCAACGTTTATTTTAGGCACTTCTGTATGTCCGATCCGAACGATATTTTTCGGTATCCACGTATTAGACATTATGGATTGTGGTAAAGATAGATCATAGCAAACGATGATGGTTGAAGTATACATTTGAGGAAAGTTATGAAATATATGCTCTAAAATAATTTAAGATAACACAAAATCTTCTCATTTCAAACACGAAGATGAAATTGAAATGTTTCACAAAATTATTTTATGACCTAATGACTGGTGCAGTTAAAAAACTCACGAGTACCTCGACGTCCGTTTATTCTATTCGATTTCTTTTGTGCATAATGCTTGTCAACAGCTGGAGATTTGATAGAGAGTACTTGGACAACATATGCACATGTTAAAATAGCAATCACAGATGTCATTTTCATTCCTGTAAAATGGATATAATTATGTTACATCAATTTGATACAAAATAAAACATGAGAAATAAATCTAATTAATTCTAATTCGTTCTTGACAATAGATAGTTAGATCGATGTCATATCGTATATTCTATCTCACTTTCATTCATGCACTTTTTGCATCAATCCAGTCAATAATGAACATCAACGATAGTGACTAGGTTAATGCAGGTAGGAACACTTTGTATGAAAATACTGAAAATTCTGCTTAATCAACAATAATGTCCCCACACTAGTCAGATCTGTTCAGATGTTTCAAAACATAAATATAATATTTCACTTGATAACATTCCTATTGTTTACGAATGATATAGGGTGAATATCGTTATGTTTTTTGCTGTTGTATGAAATAAAAAGTATATTGAACAAGATCGTAAGGAAACAAAATCCTTACGATCTTGACATTTTGTATTCGAAGTTAAGGTATATCCAGGAAGTTTATTCGTTGACTAAAACAAACAGAACGACAATTCAGAGGAGCTGTTCTTAATAATGCTGAACATTAGTACTTAATGGAAATTTGTCAAGAGAAACAAGAGTTTGAACAAGTTCAAAAGTAGAACGTGTTCAGAATACTTTAAAGACCTAAAGAGGAGCTGGGGAAAAAAGTCTGAAATTTAGTCTTACAATACAGAAAGTATTGCATGTGCCTGACAAAAGTCAATGTAGAAAGAGAATTTGAATATTCTGTAACCTGTCAAAATATGCACTGACCCTACAGATTCAATGAGTTTGTATTATTCAAAATCCATTTTCGCTTTCATTTATGTATATATGAATATTCGATGTACGTTATCAGGGACAGTTTAAAAGTGTAATCGAAGATGTACTATCTTTCTTGTTTGAGACTTTATTTGGAATACTCTTTCCTGGTGGCATGTTAACAACCAAGAATACAACGCATGAAACGATTATGATCAGCTTAGAAAATGTATAAATGTTGATGACTTTTGGTCAGTATTGTAATTGTTTTACATAATGTATACAAGTATTGAACAATACCACTCAATGTTCTGTACTTTTGACCATGAATTTATAGAATGATAAAAAAAATACTGGCGTTTAGTCACGCTCAGTGAAGATGATAAGAGTTTGTGTCCGGGAATGACGCTCAGGATCATGAATGCACACTGTTATTGAGAATATTCCAATAGAGAAAAGTTCCAAGAAAAATACCTGATGTATAATCAAGTCTATAAAATGAAGAATCTGTTTAAACAGAATAGGATAACCATAATATGCTGAATTATATTGACAATCATTGTTCAATGAATGCATATACAATTTGTGAGTCTCTGCAATTTCTCCTGACTATTTATATTGGGTATCGTGCTATAATTGGTAATAATTCATTATGAACTTGTGGAGATGAGTGTATATTAGACCTGGAAACTAACTATTCTATTTGCATTTGTCAAATCAAACCCTAATAATGATAAGAATCTATTATTATGAACAATGCGCTTCTTTTCAACAAATGAAAAATCTTTTAAGCATTTTTCATTATTGGTGTTTCCTCTTGTATTTATGTCCATGGATTTTACCAAATTATAAAAGTGATGACACAAAAGTGGTTGTTTCATTTACAGTTAATATAATTTTCTGTGTTTTTAAATTACGGAAGATTCTATCATAAACTTCTGTATGTTACATAGTGTAAGCATTTTACATACAATAGATTAAAAGGAAATGCACAGTTTGAACAAACGTAATTAAGAACATGCGAATATCAACAGTATATACGATATTTTGTTCGTCAACCAATTTAAATTGCCAATGCTTTTTAGAGAGAATATCACTGAAAATCAAGAAGACACTACATTTAAGTATGAGAATCTCCAGCATAAAAAGTTCACGATAACTTCTTACTAGATATTTAGTACTAAATTATTCATTTCATGCTCCTACTGATAGTATTTCAATATATGCCTACTCTTAATTTTGATGTTCACTGTTCTGTCAGCGAATGATTTACCCATTATTATCCACAAATCAGTGCCTTATTTCAACTAGGTAATTATACTTTGTAGGTAAATATTCATTCAATAATGAGTTTAGTTTAGTTTAATTCCCATTATTTTTGTCACAATAGGCTTATACAGATATTCATATTCAGTACACTAGGTCTCTAAATTTTATTATCAGTTATACTATATCTATTTCGGTAGATTGATCAACAGATCATGCGAATCAATTTATTACCCATCCTTTTGAGACTTTTAAATGCTTAACCCAGTGTGGACATTCATTTTATAATCGCCTTCCTTATTAATACATTGAATTCCACCTACTTGTAGTATAACCATATTGCTGAAGTAATGTTCAAACAAATCCATAAACTGAAAAGATCACAGTGCACAAGATTTTAGGTGCATCCATTATTTATATGCTCATTGAAATGTTTCAGCAATAAAATACTCAGTCCACTGATAATACTGGTATAGCGTTGTGTAGACTGTATATTGTTATTGATATTCGGTCATTAAACTGTCGAAAGTCAACAAGCGTTAAAATTCTATATCCAGTAGAGTAACCACTATGACGTACGTATCCACAATCTCACAAATAAGCGTTAAACATTGCACTTTCTGTCTCACTGGCAAGCATCTAATTTTCAGACCACTGGGCAGTTATCCAAAGGTGTATACATCTAAACTCAGTCGACTAACTATAGATACTCACCATCTTATACCGCGTACCGATCGAAGTTACCTAATGTTTTTCAACTCAGATTAAACAATCCGTAAGTAATCGTTTGTCATAGACGGTTCAAATCACCATTGTTGTTATTAAATGGAAGAGACTCATTGTACATTAATTCAAACCAAAAGACTCAGTCAAACCATATTTTGTTATTCACGTTGCATCATACTGAGATTCAGGATTAGTCATTGTGTTTGCTTTGATGTTCATGGGTGAAAATCCTATGCTGGTCCCAATAAAGTTATACACTGTAAATTATATCTGAAAAGTGAATTGTAGTTAACTTGAATGAAATTAGGGAAACATGTTATAAATAACGCGTGACGGATTTTAAAAAAACACAATTAGGTAATGCAATAGTATAGAGTGAATAATTAAGAACTTACTTGAAACTATTGAAATACATATATATCTGCAGAAGAATATCCACCGTATACAACTACTTGTTGTACCTTATCCAACCATTCGGCTATCTTGAAAATATCATTACTGTCTAGTGACGATTATTGTTTTTATTAAACTCTGTGATTTGTTATTGACCAATGAACACTCTCTATACATATGGTGAATAATTGTTGTTTTTAACATGCAATCATACAGCACACTTGACTCAAAAATTATTTGATATAGCCAATGTCGAGATTTCACATAGAAAAAGAAATGAGTTATAAGAACCAATAAACGACAAACGTCCTATAGTATGAAAGAAAACAAGTCACCGTTCAATCGACAATAATCATCCATATAATTAACACTTAACTTCGAATAAACCGTAAGGCGTGTACAATCGATTGGAGAGATAAAAAAATAGTGAGCCGAATAAGTATTATCATAAGATGAAAAGAAATTAGGAACAATGATTTATCTGACAACTATGCAGCTCACATATTGAAAACATAAAAAACTAATTGAAAAAAATTACAATATTTTATAAAAGTCACGGAAAAAAAAGTAACGACTGTTGTTGATTTATACAGTTGATAATTTTGTGAGTTCCTATTGATCTGATAACAATTTTGATGTCATTTCAAAATTTATCAAATAAGTGAGTATTTTTATGCAGTCAACCCAAGACTATGCTCATTACCTGGTTATGCACAAATGATAAGAGTGTTTTTGACCTCAAAATACCAGTTGTCATTATCAACCCCTTAATCTGATTAAAATTATCTTCTTTATCTGAGTTTCAGAAAAAAATTGTCGGAGTATCTTATCTAAATATCGTGATGTTTTGAAGAACGTTGAATGAACGAAGCAATTTTCATTGTGACTAGTATGGCTAGCATTGTCTGCCTGAAATTCAAAATGTTAAGATAGTGATTAAATACTGCGAAGTGACATAGTAGTTCAGCTTTGCGATTATCCGTACTCACGTATAAGCCAAAACGTTATTTGATTCAATCGTAAAATGATAGTATCAACATCGTTGAGAACTGTTCTTAAGATAAGCATTGTCGATTATTTGCATTGTTCACATGTCATTTTATTTTCAATTTAGTAATATGGAGATTGTTGTATTTAGACTGTGGAAATTATGAATGAATCATTATTAGACCACCATTTTCTGTATATTATTCGGTCATATCAAATAAAACAAAAAATTCTAACACTGAGCCTCTTTTTTATATGTTGTAGATAAACATTATTTCGAACATTTTGTTTCTTCTGAATTTCCTCTATTCAACCGACTTACTTCCCATTAGTTGTCTCAGTACTGAATTGTCTTCATTAACATACATAAGTGCAGGTGTACAATTTTTGTTATGATATTAAAGAGTCTGAGTAAACATACCTTTATTTTATACTTAAACGTATGTAAAAAGCCGTTGTGTGGCATTGAACAAGAATATTTTCTGTTCCGCTCCTCGTCCCGTTTTCTTCATTCCTCTTTTTTCAGAACCTTATTCCAATCCTCATATATTAGTCTGGATATTTGCAGTAGACTTTGTTACCCTACCCAAGAAAATGTGAAATAATTAGTTGATGAATATCAACCACACATTTGTACATTTATGGCATTTATTGATGTTATATGAAAACTTATCTCCACCATCAATAGTTTCTCAGTCCATAAGACGACTGTCGTAACGCAACATTCGTAACTTGCGCCAATTATTCGCATTGCATATTCCAAGTTTAAGAATCCATTGATTCTCGTGAAATGTTTCAGTAACTGTATATCGATTTAAAGTAATATGTTGCTAATCCTAATATTTTAATCCTGCCTGTAAAGTGGCATGTCTCTTGTAAAATGTTTGATATTTGATGATAAGTTATTAATATTATAAATATTATTATCATGTTGCTTTTATTGGTCGATCGAAAGTACCGCTCACAATGCATATCGCATATCTGGCTTAATCTGTATGAATATAAATAATGAGTCATGCCCCACCACATGAAGTGGGCTCCTATAACTACTATTCTTTATTTCGCTTGGCTTGTGTGCTTTGAATTTTAATGTCTGTCTTTGAAGTATACTAATCCAACGGAATCCGTTTTCAGCTTCCAATTACCGCTATGTCACAAAAACGATTCTTCTAAGTGCGGTACATGTAGATTTCAGAATTGGTCATTTCGTATCAGTGTGTATTTGCTCAAATTTACAGACAGCTCAATGACAACTGAAGTTGTGAGCCCAAATTTGAGTTTAACGAAGTCGGCTACCCACAAAGCATTCTCAAATAGAGTTATGATTCGTAGATTTGTTGGG